GGGGGGGGGTGGGGGAGAGTGGGAGTAGGGAGAGACTACCGTGCTCAAGACAGCTGCTCTAGTCTACGAAAATTATTTCGTATTTTTTCGACTGAGTTTAGATCGTCCAGGACAATCGATCATAAAAACAAAGTGAGCTTTTTTTCGTTATCGACCAATCTTTTTTCTTTGCAGAAAGAGTCTAGGGAAAACATGGCTGTTGTTTTGAAACGTCAAAAACTGTACGCTATGTTTCCTGGTGTTGATCCTTTAGCTTTAAAGGAATTGTTTGAGGCAAACAGGTAAGGTGGGTAAGAGAACAACTCGGGGAGTTATCCTATATATCATATATGAGCCCTGTCCTAACCTGCGTAGTCTAGGGATCCCCAGTCCCCTCGGACCTACCACACAGAGGGCCGTCACGCAGGCTAGCCCTGTCCCCGTTTTACAAACGCTCAAACGTTTATATATCTTCCTATTTCTTCTTCTTTTCTTTTGTCCTGTATGTAGATATTGAGTGGCTTTCATGAGAATGTTTTACCATTAGCTTTATAATTCCGCTGGCATAATTCTCAAAGCATTTGGTGCACTGCAAGGATTCCTTAGCGAAGTGATGCATTTTTTAGGCAGTCTTGTCCAATAAATAGTTAATTTAGCAATCATGGGCATAACGTTCAACGGTAATGTGGTGCGCACTTTTACATGGCAGCGTAAACTCCAGTTTGGGTATTGACAAAGTATGATGTTATTTTTCATTCACTGTTAAGGTATGAATTGCAGCCAACGATTTCTATGGTGGAAACATCTTGCAATCTTCAAGCTAAGCCGCCTGTATTCCAAGAAAAGCAAGGCAACTGGAACTCTAGATCACATGATGGTTAGTCAAAAAATAAATAAAAAATAAATAAATGATAATAATAACATATATAATTCGACAATAGAGGTTTTGTACCATCACCGCGCCCAGCTTGGACTGCCTGTGGTTAGATGGAAGATCAATAAAATTCCTTTGCTCGCAAGAATTGAATTCTTTCTCATGTAAAACGATTGACACGTATTGCTTGTGTAAATCGACCGTAGAACTTGCTTACGTTTGTAAATGGCAGCTTAAAGCATGTTGCGCACGTCAGTTGGAAGGCGTAGTAGTGAGAGCTCTCACCAATGCTACCCGGGTTCGATTCTCGGGGACTGGTAGCGTGTGAGTAGAGTTGATTATTGGTTTTCTCCTGTGCCACGAGGGTTTTTCTTCTGGTTCTCCGGTTTTCTTCCCTCCTCGAATATCTAGGAGCTAGAAAGGGCCTTGAAATGAAAATTACTCTGTGTAATTCTAGTTACCCTTATCAAATTGCGTAGTTTACCGTGTAAATCAGCCTTGACATAACTGCCGCCATGATGATGCAAAACCTCAGCTATAGAAGGAGATGCTTTTAAAGTAATGGTTTATATCTGTTTGTCCATGGTTGAGCTCATGGTTGAATATACTAATACATATATGTAGTCTTAGAAATCACATAATTGTCCACTTATAATTTGAGTCATGTAGTTTGCGAATTCTTAATGCGTCAGTAGATGGTCACGGGGAACTGAAGACAGAATTTCAAGAATTACAAGATCCTGACTACGAAGACTTTCGTGCTGAAGCCAATACACATTATAAACTGAGAGATGAATGTTTCAGAAAAGCTGCTTTTGCATTTTCTAAGAAACAGGGACAATTAGCCCAATTCTATGCCTCACAGGTTTGTTTCGCTGATTTGCTTTTTTCAATATAAACACCTCTTTACATCCAACAACAACATCCAAGCATTCTAGGTTAAGTCATGTTTACCATCTCCGTCTTTCAGGGCCATATGCATACAGAGGAGATAAGGCAAGCTAACAGAAGAGCAGCCGCTAGAATTTTGGAACACAAGTAAGTATGTTTAATTAATTAATAAATAGCACGAAATCACATACTGGTCGACGATACCAAAGCTTTCCTCATTACATTCTCTTTTAAGATCAACAAACTTGGCGGCTGTTTTTGAGTAATCCCTCCATTGTAAACTTTACTGAGATGTTGAATTGGAAACTGTCTATCCCTAACCTTAAGGTGCCCTTGACTGGTATACACCGGTTTAGGTCATCGCGATAAATCGCACCAGTGACTGAACTTCCTATCAAAATTATACGAACGTCTTATAATCTATTGGCGTTTTTTTTCAGGAATTCAAATGGGGACCAAAATTCTCTTGATCTTCATGGACTTCATGTGGATGAAGCATTAATGGCTCTAGAAGAAAAGCTTATTTTTTCAGGTTCAATTTCCCATACTCCTTTTGTAGTGTTACTTTCTCTAGTCAATAATAACATTATGCACCAATAACTACTATCAGAGTACTTAATATTAAAACTAATTAAGAATATATATATATATATATCTAATTAGGATATCAATAAATAATAATACTTATTTTTAGAATTCTAGTCAAGAAAATATTCTCTTGTGCTAGTTCACGCGTTTGAATGTCTCTACAGTTCCTAACATCAATCAGTTTTTCTTTTCCCTTCGTACAGACTGGCCCAAGGACCGCCCAAGATATTTATCAGTGATAACAGGGCGAGGAATACATAGTAAACAAGGAAAAGCAAAAATCAAACCTGCAGTATTGGAATATCTCCAGCGTAATAACTATAGGTAAAGGCGATAATCATTAATCACGTGATCTCATGCTAGCGTCAGGAAGAGGTTTATTATTTTCTGATTTCCAATTTTTATTCCAACAGGTTCGAAGAACTACAACCTGGTCTTCTCCGTGTTTTTATAAATAGATGAACACTTGTTACGCTCGAATGTTTTACTTACCCGCGTGAAACAATATTTAACACTTATTCACTGGGACCTATAGGAAAGCAGTGTCTCGGCTTTTGTGTTCCCGGGACGGATTTTTCCCAATGTTCCAGTAAATAAGTGTTTAGCTGGAGCAGTTTGGTATGACTGCGAAAAGGTCGTTGACGTATGCGTGCCTTACCGCGACCAGGATGTTTTCTAGAATTTTGATTGGCTGATTTATTTTCCCGCGCAATGTGATTGAGTGCTGTGATTGGTCTGGCAGTGCCGTCACCTTAGCGTGGCCGTGTGTATGACCGCGCCGTGTTTCGTGTATTATGTTGGAGAGAGAGTAATGAATCTTT